CCGTTGCCCACGTGGGTGACCAGACACCTGGTCCCATCCTTTCCCAAAAATGTCTTTGTTCTTTCCGTGCATCCTTACTACAGGCCTCATTTCCCTATTGGGTCAATACTAGCTAAGCAGCCATACTTGTAATTTTATGGGTTGATTTTAGTTTGACCCATGTTGCACCCATATTGTGATTTTGCTGTATAAATTACTCCTGGCAAAAGGCTTCAAATAAATTGGACCCACATGTGTAAACATCACATTATCTCCCTGGAGTAAGAATATGAAAGAGTAAACAAAACCCAAAATATACAATAGATGATAGGAAAGGGAAAGAAATTGCTCAAAGGAAGGAACAACTGGGATGAGGGAAAGAAGAAAAAGAAAGTACTAAGGCATTTTATATATATATATATGTATATATACATATGGATCGGTGGCATAACTGTCCTGCTGGTATTTGATGGTTTGTTGAGGGGAACAGTTAATGATTAAAAGTTTTTTATATTTTGACCAATTTTGCATGCTTATATCTGGTAATCTGCGCAACTTATGTGATGACAACTATTTGCAGTATAACAACCACTGGTGAATTCCTGCAATCCTGTCTAGTGAAACTATGTATTGTCTCTAATGTTCTTTTAAATTATTATTTTCTTATTCCCTTTAATGATTTGAACAATCTTCTATTCTTACATCTGGTAATCTGAGCAACTTCATTGAAGATAACAATGTGTAATATAACAACCACTGTTAATGTCTGTCATTTGGTTTGAAACCCCGTATCATTTTTAATGTCCTTGCTTTGCCTTGTTTGTACTTTGCTATCCTTCTTTTTTTGTACTATTTTCTTTAAAATAAGAAGTAAAAATAAAAATAAATTTTTTAAAAAAAGGCCTCAGTGGCTACCCCATTCAGGACATCTCCTGGAAATCCAGGAGCTAAGCTTTTCTCCTTATTTCCTATAAAACTCTCCTAAATCCTTTGGTTCGTGACTTCATTCCCTCATGTGGGACCACAAACTTGGCACATTTGACACCTAACAGGTTGGGAGTTGTATTTCTCTTCTGTCATCAGTACAATTCTGGCACAGAGGTCCTCTCCAGTTGTGGCCCCCTGTCCTTGCATTTTCAGACCTGAGAGCTGTAGTGGCTATAGGGTTAATACCTTTGACCCTGAACTCCACTTAAAGCTATCTGCCAACGAAGGGAATACAACTGTGACCGGAGAACTTCTGTTACTTAAGGCCACGCTGCTCTCTATAGGTGACTATCATTAATCTGATTCTCTTTGGTTGCTTTGCTTATTTTCCTTTTAACGACATCTTACAGGAGTAGATTTGATGGCTCATTTATTGTGATCAACCACTAATGTTCTAACTATTATTGAAATAAATTGCATTATTCTAACTAGTTATCAACTGTATTGTACTCAGCAAACCTTTTTATCTGCTATAAATGTAATCATTAAATATTCTTGGGTGACTTCCTTAAAATCTCTCCAATTTGATCTCAATACAGGTTTTCCAAATGTTAGACTGAGTAACCTCAGTCACACGGTTCCTGATCTAAGGCTCTCAGAGATATTGATGGGTGTATGAGTGCCCTTAAGAAAGAGAAGAGCCCTAAGCTTAAGACCAGCTTCTTCTGGAACCCCAACACACTTTAATTTTGAAGCATGAGATCTTTAAAATCCTGCTGCATCCTAGGGGGGAAGGGGTCTCAGAAGTCAATTAGGTACTCTTAAATTTGTGTGCCACGTATGAATGACCTTTATCATTAAATAATTGATTTTTGAGTAATTAAAAATATCCTGTTTCAGTTTTTTGTCTGATTTTAATAGTACTGCTAATTGAATCCAGAGCCTTTACACTGAGATCCTTCCTCAGCCACTTTTATATCTGTGAGATTGGGTCTCACTAAGTTACTAAGTTGCCCGAGCAGGGCTTGAACTTTGAAATCCTCCTGCTTTAGCTTCCTAGAATGCTGGGACTAGAGGCATGTTCTGCCACCCCCAACTACTCATTTGTTTTTCACATTTTGGATGTAGTCATTCTGTTGTCCAGTAGCCATGCCAAAGTTCACTGCAAGTAGAGCTCTAGGGCATGGGACAAACAATAACTATGCGGTGGTATTGATCAAGAATGCAAGCTCCAAATGCCAGGACCAGAGCAGTGTCTTCATTACTTACTAGCTCTGCATCTGAAAAATGGGGGCAATAGTAGTACTTACATTGTAGGGTTATGGTAAGCATAAACTAGTAAGCACCTTAAATGGCTCCTGGCAGACAACAGCTTACTGGTGATTATTTCACCTGAATTGATATCTTTGGGAGCAAGTGCAAGGCAAAATGTGGAGTTTTAGGTTGTTTTCTGGGTTATATAATGCAGGATAGCTAACATAGTTGTTCCACTGTCTTCTATTTCTTTGCTGAAACTGTCAGTGAGTCCTTGATTGATCAATATTGCATGTCTCTATCCGTATTCATGAGAAACCACTTTAAAGATATCAATATGTAATACAACAAGTATTGTTAATTTCCTACCACTTTGTTTGTAACTCTGTATTGTCTGTACTGTTCTTTTGCTATTTTGTAAAAGGTTGTCTGTCTGTTAATGTTTTCCTCCTTATTTTTAAAATAAAAAAAAAAAGAAATGCACTGCCTGAGTGATGCTCAGGTAAACTGTTAAGAAAAGGAGAAACTGAGAAATGTAAATTGCAAGAAAAGGACAAACTCTGATGTGTAATTGCTAGCAATGAAATAATTTTGATAAGGTGGAGCAAACCTAGGAGTACTAAAGTGCTGGTCTACATCTGCAGAACTTTCACTTATATTTCCAGACAGGGTCTCACTAAGTAGAATAAGCCAGACTCAACTCTTTTTCTTCCACTTTTTCTTCCACTCCTGAGTTGCTGGAATTACAAGCATACATTAGCAGGGCCAGCAAGATTTTTTTATGGTAAAATAATGGGAGAGTAAATGTGCTCAAGATAAAATCTTATAGTTTTAATATTTAATATTCCATTATTAGCTGGAATAGAAGCACACATTACATAACTTCCTGGAGATGGTGAGATTGCTATGTAGTTTAGAGTGGCTTTGAACTCACTGTGTAGTCCAAGCTGGTTTCAAAACTTTCTGTTTGATAGAATGACATACAAAGTAAACATAAGGTTAAAAATCATATGGTTGGGAAAGAGAGTTAGGTATATAACCATTAATTTGCTGCACACAAATTTCCAATTAGAACTCCCCCTAATGAAAGAATCACAGTGGATTAGAATGAGATGATGGGAAAGCTCACGGGGTGCTGGGTTATAGTTTGAGAATTTGTTTGGTTTACCTGCCCCAGTAATCTGGTCTCACAGTAAAGTTCACCATGTGTGTGGGCCTCCTACCATCAAGACAATCCCTTGATTCCATGGTAACCAAAGGAGTCGACCACCTCTTTTATGCTAAGAACAAGTAGACTTATAGATGTGGTAGGCATTCCTAAACTGACATTTCTCTTTGGTCAGAAAGGAAATTAGTAGAGGATGGAACTGTCACCAATTAGGGTCCAAAGAGGTACACCGAAGAGGAGATGGGGACCTCAACTTGCTCCAGATTGGTTCTTGACTTCACAGGAAACTATTTCATATCTCATTAGAGAGAGGGAGAAGCACAGGCAGCCTTATTAGGCGGGGTTATAAAGTAAGAGGAAAAAGGGAAAGACATTTTAGTTTGTGAAGCTGAAAAGGGCACAACCCTGGTGGACAGGGTTAGATTGAGCCTTTAAGAAAGGAGTAAGACAAGCTTCTGTGGATTACTGGACGTGGGCTACATACAGTCTTGTTCACCATTAACACAGCTCTGGAAAAGTCCTCTCACTTAATCCAGTTCCCATAGGATGACTATTTCTGCATGGGGAAGTCTCAGGGTCATGTGAGCTTTGTGAGAATCCAAGGTGAGGATAGGTCTAAGGCAATAGCTGGAGACCTCTGGGTATCACTGGTAGTGGAGTATTCCCATAAATCTCTTATCTTGGTGTCCTCAGTCTTGAAAGGGGGTGTAAAAATTAATTCAATTTAGGGCTCAGCAACTTTGGAGCTTTTAGCAGACACTGCCTTAACAATTAATCTGCCTTTGCATGTCTATATCTGTTTTCATGAGAAGCCACTTTGAAGATATCAGTATGTAATACAACCACCATTGTTAATTCCCTACCACTTTGTTTGTAACTCTGTATTGTCTGTATTGTGCTTGTGATATGTTGTAAAATGTTGTATGTCTG